TGCTCGGGGCGGCCGCGCGCGCGCTGAGCCCCCCGCGCCCCGGAGCAGGTAGGACAGGACCCGAGGTGGCCGGCGGTGGCGATGTCACCGAGCGCCGGAGCCCCGAGCTGCGGGCAAGCGGACGGGACCCTGCTTCCCAGGCGCGCCCACCGCTCCTTCGCTCCTGGAGGGACGCTGGGGACCCCAGGATTGGGCTCCCGGAGGGGACCCCGGGTCCCTCGGCCAGGCTCCCGCCCGCGCCCCTGCCTGCCGGTCTCCGCCTCTGGGGTGACCCGGGCGAGTCTGAGCCGGGTCCGGGGTGCGGGGGGACCCCTCCGTCTGAGCGGCGGCGGCCCTGAGCCTGCTTTCTGGCGGCTCTCGCTGCGCCCCCGTCCCTCAGCCTCAGGGTCCTCTCGGGTCACCCCGCTCCGTCCCGCCCTGGTGGCCTCAGCCACCCTGAGGGCTCTGCATACAGGAGGGGCTTCATACGTGAGTGCTGTTGCGTGAGCGAGTGGACCAGAGGCGCCCTGGACCCCAGACTCGCCCCGGAGAGAGCCCCCTTCCCGCGGGGCCGCTCCTGCTCGTCTTCCCCGGGGGAGGTGCCTGGCCGGGTCCCTGCCGCCAGCGGAGGGAAGGGTGTGGTGGGCGCTCGGGAGCCAAGTAGCTCGACAGCTGGAGCCTTCCCGGGGAGACTGGGTTCCCTGAAAGTCGGGAAGTTGGTCTCTGTGAAAACAGCTGAGGACCGGAGACTTTGGTGGGTGTTTTTTGTTGCCGGGCGTGTAGGCACACGCTGGTAATCTCAGCACTCAGGAGGCCGAGGCAGGAGGGTCACTTCGAGTTCAAGGCCAGCCTGGGCTACAAAATGAGTCCAGGACCAACCTGAACTCCATAGTGAAAGCCTGTCTCAAAAAAAAGAAAAGAATAAAAAAAGAATATTATTTTGTTAAAGACTCAAAACAACTCACTAAGAGATAGTTTTTTTTTAAGTGGTAGTTTTCATTTCATTTCATTTCTTTTTTTTCTTTCTTTTTTTTTTTTTTGACACTGGGGATGAAGCCCAGGGCCTTTGCACTGAGCTGGATCCTCAGACCTTTTTATTTTTTATCTGGAGACAGCATCTCACTAAGTTGCTAAGTTCCCCAGGTTGGGGTCAAACCTGTGATCCTCCTGACTCAGCCTTCCAGATAGCTGGCATTACAGGCATGTGCCGCCACAACTGGCTCAAGTGGAGATTTTCTCACCCCTGTCTTACAGATGTGAAAACTGAGGCTTAGAGAGATTTGCAACTTGTTCAGTGTCACCGGGAGTGGTAGAGTCTGGGTTCAGCTTCGAGCTCATCTGGTTCCGAATGCAAGCTTTCTACATTTGGGATGCAACCTTGGGGCTCCCAGGGGCTGTCCATGGGGCCGGGTCTCCCCATCCTGGTATCTCAAGCACACAGGGGATAAAAGACTCTTGCCACCCTCCCTCCCTTCCAGCATCCATGTGCACCACGGAGCATGTGCCTGTTGGGCACCCGGACCATCTAGGTGCCAGGTCTGAGCTAGGATGGCGAGGGCTGCAGTGTGTGTGTGTGTGTGTGTGTGTGTGTGTGTAAGGGCTTTTTGTGGAGCAGCACAGTCTGGGCTGGGCCAGCTGTGTCATGGAGCCTCTGACTGGGTCGGCTGTGTGGGGTGCGGTTGCCAGGCGTGGGGTCCGGCTGGGGCAGGCTGTCCCCTTGTGGTGGGCTCCATGCCACCCGTGGGCAGCCCAGGGGCATCCTGGGAATGGGCTGGGCCCTGCCCCTCCCCACGTCCTCCGGGAGCATCTGGTTGTGATCAGGGGAGAGGAGCGCGGGGGGCCTGGCCAGGGTCCGGGAGGCACAGCAGCCGGGACGACTTAATTGGGGAAAATGTCTAAGGGCCGAGCAGAACCTGAAACAGCTGCCGGGCCCCAGCTCGGGCCTGCTCTGGCCAAGTCTTGTCCCAGCTTCTGTGGCTCCCCTGAGGTCTCCCAGCCTCGCGGCCTCGATCATGCCGCATTGTCCCTTATACAGCCAGAGTAAGTCTGACGATTGAAATGACAGCCAGACGTGGTGCTGCACGCCTGTAATCCCAGCGCTAGGGAGGCTGAAGCAGGAGGATCACCATGAATTTGAGGCCAGCCTGGGCTACACAACAAGTCCCTGTCTTTAAAAAAAAAAAAAAAAGGGAATGACAGTATGACAATATGCAGCACAGCTCGGAGGGCTCAAAGCTCTGAAATGGAAAGAGATACTTTTCGTGTCGTTTAGAATTGCCTTAGGGACCTAGCATGAGGCAGAGAGAGCCGGAGTCTCAGCACCGCTGCCTGCAGGTGGCCACCCTCTGACCCTGGGCCAGGCACACATGACAAGCTGATCCCAACTCTGTGGGTCTGAGGTGCAGCGCTCCTGGCGGTCACTGATGGCTTGGAGGTGACTTTTGGGCGAAGCCTGTGTCCTCTTGTTTTGGGGGGCAGTGAGTTGCCCCAGGCATGGGACCGAAGAAGAAGTGGTCTGCCAAATGGGAAGATGCCAGGGCTTCGGGAGGCTCCGGGGACGTTGGAAGCCACGTGCACTGTTGGTGGGGGTACAAAATGCCACAGCTGTTCTGCACAGGTGACAGTATGGTGGGGCCTCAAAAAATTACAAATAGAGTTAAGACCCAGCCATTCCACCTCTGCGTATCTCCCCAAGGAATTGAAAACGGGCCCTCACAGAGGTGTTTGTACACCTTTGTTCAAATCAGCATTGTTCACAGTGGCTAAAATATGCAAGTAGCCAGGCATGGTGGCACACGCCTGTCATCCCAGCACTCGGGAAGCTGAGGCAGGAGGATTGCCATGAGTTCGAGACCAGCCTGGGCTACAAAGTGAGCTCAAGGCCAGCCTGAACTGAATAGCGAGACCCTGTCTCTAAAACCAAAAAGAAAAAAAGAAAAAAGACATTGTCCGAAAGAAACCAAAAGGGCGATGGGGAGTAGAGTGCTCCTGGATTCAGTCCTAGAACCACACACAGAAACCAACCACTGAGCTGTGTGTTTGTGGATCTTATGTGTATTTCACCACAGTTTTAAAATTTGAAGGAAAAAAATGACCCCATCCAAGGTGTTGGTTGTGCCAGGCTGGAGAAGCCCTGAACTACACGATCACTACTTCGTGGCTTGTTGTCCCGAGTCCCCTGGGAGACGCGGGGGGTCAGCTGCCGCCTCTGGCAGAACGCAAGGCTTTACTGGCCGCCGCTCTGGGTAGCGGTAAGCTTTCCAGTTCGGGTGGTTCTGGGCAAAAAGAAAGACAGGACGGCGAGGAGGGTGTGTCCATCACATCCACAGGTGTGGAGAAAGGAGCGCAAGGGTCACCTCGAAACACACTCTGGAAGCGACCCCACGTCAGCCGTCCAGATGGCACACCTCTGTTTGTCCCTTGGTGTCGGAACCAGGACTGACCAGACCTCTGTCCTCCGCTAGGTGCCAGGCAGGCTTCTGGCTGCAGCTTCAGTGATTTCCTTGGTGGCTGTGGTGTGCACGATGCCCCAGCTCTGAGGTCTCTTCCAGGGACACTTCATGGGGTGCCACCCACTGGGCTGGATGGTCGTCATCACTGGTGAAAAGTTCTCCCAGCTGGTGGCTACTGATGTAGCTAAGTTGTCAATGAGGAAATAAAAAATTTTTTGAGACAGGGTCTCGATGTATAGTTCAGCCTAGCCTTGAACTCACTAGGTAGCCCAGACTGGCCTCAGACTTGAGGCAATCCTCCTGCCTCAGCCTCCTGAGTGCTAGGATGACAGGTGTGTGCCACCACACCTGGCTCCCTTTCCATATTTATTTATTTATTTATTTAGGTACTGGGAATTGAACTCAGGACCTTGTGCTTGCCAGGCAGGTGCTTGTGTCACTGAGCTACATCCCCAGCCCATCTGACCCCCTTTCTGATCTCCACGCTGGACTATGGTGCTCAGCTTTCTGTTCCTTCTTCTCCAGGTCACCATGAAGGCCAAGGCTCTGTGTGGGCTGCCGAGGGGACCACCCAGGGCTGGCACCGGAGAGCCCGAGACAGCCCCGGGCAGGTGTCGGACGCAGACAGGACCCAGCTGAGCCAGGACTTTGGTGGGGGCACCCTGGCCATCGACACCCTGCCTGATAACAGCACACGCGTGGTGGTGAGAGCCGGGCGGGGGACGTGTGTGGTCTCCAGGTGGCCCTGGGGACTGGAGTGGAGCGAGGGGCCCCGGGCAGGGGACGGAGGAGGAGCTCACACTGGGCCGTGCGGTCGCAGCCTCTCGGAGCTGGCGCTGCCCGGCTTCTCCAGGACCCGTGCAGCGGGCGGCAGCTCAGATGCACAGTCCAGACCCGGGATGCCAGGCTCCAGCTCCTCCCTGACCCAAGGTAGCAGTGCTGAAGGTGGCATCTGTCTCATCCAGGTGTGAGTGACCCAGAGGTCTGCAGTGGCGCAGGCTGAGGACTGGAGGAAAAGCAGGCGGGGTGCACGGGGGACAGAGTCCCTCCCCAGGGCACGGGCGGGCACAGCGTCCCTCTGAGGGCACGGATGAGGGCGCCCTTCCGGCTCACGGGGGCTTTGGAGGGCTTCAGCAGGGCCAAGAGAGGCGCCGGGGCAAGGGATTGGTTCGCAGCCACAGAGGAACAGGAGCTCCTGCCCCCTCCACCACCTTCCACAGGTCACTGATGGGGGGTTGGTCCTGGGAGCAGGTGCTCCAGGGCTTCTGCAGACACACAGGAGTGCACACGAACCCCGGTCGCCCCACACCGGCACACTGCTGTTGCTGGTGCTGGTCTTGAATGGGCATGTTCTGGGGGGCAGTGCCTGAGGACTGAGAGTCAGTGTCGTAGCCCGTTAGCCACATGTGAGCAACACAGAGGTTTAAAGGAGCAGCTCTGGCCAGGCATGGTGGCACCTACCTGCAGTCCAAGCACTTGGGAGGCTGAGGCAGGAGGATCTCCTCCATTTCAGGGCCAATGAGTTCAAGGCCAAGTTGAACTACAGGAAATGAGACCCTGTCTCAAAATAATGAAATGAAATCAGTGTATGTGGAGGCCCATTTACTCTTCATGAACTCTCAGGCCCGAGTCCCCGGAGTCCCTGTGACAAGTTGTGCTGACATCCCTGTGGCAAAGTCTGGGTTTCAGTAGGACCTGTTCTCTAGGAGAAGGGACAGCGTAGCCAACTTTTCTTTTTGGTTTATTTTTTTTTTCTCTGAGACGGATCTCATGATGTAATCCAGGCTGGCCTCATACTCACAAGTGATCCTCCTGCCTCAGCCTAGCCAGTGCTGGGATTACAGGTGTGTGCCACTGCACCTGGGTTCCCATACTAATCTTAAGGATTCTTCTACCAAAAGAACAGAAGCAGCCATTGCCCTGATGCTCCTGGCCATCCCTGGGTGCTGTGTCTGGCTGCTTTGGTGGATATCCAATGGGCCTTTAACAGGTCCTAAGGCCTGGGGAAGGACCCCAACCAAGGCCACACACTGACGCTCAGTTATGTAACCCTGACAGTTGTCTCAGGTTGTGCAGTCCTGAAGCAGGGCTTTGGGGAGGGAGGTTGCTGGTTTATCAGAAGCCTGTAGTTCCTACTCCCAGGAAGGGGTGCCTGGCCATATTCCTTCCTTGGGAATTGTATCGGAGCCATGTCCATGAGCTGTGGGCCATATCCAGGATTCAGAGCCCATGGAAGCCAGTTAAACCTGGGGGAGCCAGGCGTGGTGACGCACGCCTGTAATCCCAGCACTCGGGAGGCTGAGGCAGGAGGATCGTTGCGAGTTCGAGACCAGCCTGGGCTACAAAGTGAGCTCAAGGCCAGCCTGAACTGCATAGCGAGACCCTGTCTCAAAAAGACCAAAAAAATAAAATAAATAAATAAATAAATAAATAAACCTGGGGGTGTGGGAGAGGCCTGGGCAGCTGCACGGGCAGGATCTGGCAGGCTGCTTGTGCCCTGCTGAAGGAGCGGGTGCCTGGGGCCAAAGCAAACCCTTCACGGGGGACTTTGGGGGCAGTACCTGGCCCTAGACTTTGAGACTGCGTATACCCTGTCAGCCGGGAAACTGGAAGTCTGAACCAGAGGACCTTGAGCCTCTGTTAAGAGGAGAATAAATAAGACCGTCACATATTGCATGGTAGCCCCATTCGCTGCGGTTAAATCAACCGAGGCCGTGACCGAAGCTTGTTCAGGAATGCGGGGGCTGGCCCTGACGCCTGCAGGGGGACAGTCCGGGGAGCTGTTTGTCCCAGCGCAGCCCAGCAGTCCACTCAAACACGAAAGGCTGCACCCCACGGCCACGAGCCACTGACACCTGCGGCCCCCGGGGAGGGCTCCAAGGGCTCCGGTCTTTGCCAACACTCACTCCCTGCTTGCTTCCTTGTAATCACAGCCCTCCCCGCGGGGGCAAAGCCGTACCGTCTTGTGGCTGCCATTTGGGTTTCCGTGATGACAAATGAGGATGAGCGGCTCTCCGGGGCAGGCTGGCCATTTGTATGTCTGTTCAAGGGCTCTGCATGCTTTTTTCTTGGCCCATTTTAAAGCTGGGCTGTTCGTCTCTGTCTGGGGAAAACCTCCTAACCCCTCTGAACGCGCCTCTCCAGTGTCTGGCGTGGGTGCTGCGGCCTGACTGTCACGGCAAAGATGCTCAACAGCAAGGTGACGCAGGCCGGGCCATGCTCGGGAGCAGTACTCACCCGCAGGTGCTGTGTGAGGCTCTGGTCCACGGTGACCGCCAGCCTGGTTTTTCCCAGGATGCCTTGGTCTTAGGACGGAATATCCAGTATCCCAGGAGACCCCGAGGGCGTAGGCAAACCGGGACAGTGTGGTCGCAGGGAAGACAGCGGGCCCCTGCTGTGGTGTGAATGTCTGTGTCCCTCTGTGTTCCTATTTAGTGCCGGGATCTCTAGGGAACGATGAGGTCAGAAAGGTGGGGCCCTCAAGAGTGGAATTAGTGCCCTTATCGAAGAGGGTTGAGGGAGCTTCATGGGCTTTTCCACCATGTGGAAATGTGGCATGAAAGTGCCATCCATCAAGCCTCTGGGAGACCCTAAATCTTCTGGGGCCTTTTTTTTTTTTTTTTGTCTTTTTGAGACAGGGTCTCACTATACAGTTCAGGTTAGCCCTGAGCTCACTTTGTAGCCCAGGCTGGTCTCAAACTCAAAACAGTCCTCCTGCCTCAGCCTCCCGAGTGCTGGGATTACAGACGTGCTCCACCTCACCCAGCTTCTTCCAGGGCCTTGATCTTGAACTTCCCAGCCTCTAAAATCAGGAGCAGTATATTTTGGCTGTTTCTAAATTGCCACATCAAAGGTGTTTTGTTACAGCAGCTGGAAAGGCTGAGACGGCATCCTTAGCAGTCAAGTCATCCCCAAAATGGTTTTCTTATCTGTAAAGCAGGACCAGGAAAGCCTCAAGGTGTTGGTGTGAAAACTGGACAAGCTAGGTGGGTGTGGTGGTGCACGCTGTAATCCCACCTACTCTGGAAGCTGAGGCAGGAGGATTGCAAGGTAAAGGACAGCCTGGGCATTTTTTTGTTTTGTTTTGTTTTTTGAGACACGGTTTTGTGCCAGGCTGGCCTTGAACTCATTAGTAGCCCGGGCTGACCTTGAACTTACAGAGATCCTCCTACCTTAGCCTCCTGAGTGCTGGGATTATAGGTGTGTGGCATTATGCCTGGCCCCTCCTGGGAAATTTAGTGAGGGCTATTCTCAAAAATTTTTTAAAAATTTTAAAGGGTTGGGAAAGCAATTCAGCACTGCCTGGGTTCGATCCCCAGTACTGCAGCAGCAACAGCAACAACAACAAAAAACCCCCAAACAACCCGCAACCCAATTGTGAGAAAGTTAACCACAGATCCCTCCCAGCCCTTACTGACAGGGACACAGAACAGGACTGGGTGACTGAAGAGGATGCCCTGGCCTTGAGGTCTCAGATGCGACCAAGCCTGAGAAGTGCCGCCTTGTCGCAGGGCTGTTGAACGGGGCCGTCGTCCGGGAGGTGGGCTGGAACTGCAGAAGCTCCTGGCGGCGATGTTTGTGAGATCGGGACAGCTGGAAGCCGCGGACACACCCAGGAAGGGGCACGAGTTAAGAAAGTTGTGGGCCCTCCTCCGAGTGGTCTGGCCTGCAGCCGTCCCAAATGAGGGTTGGAAATACCAGGCTGAGGCTGCGCCGGGGCAAGATGCTCTTTCATTCCCCGAGGCCAGGGCCCTTAGGAAGTGCCATGGCAGGAAAACCACTCTGGCTCCTCCTCAGTCCCCGTCACAGCCTACACTGGCAGGGTTGCCTCCCTCAGTTCCGCCTGCTCTCAGCAGGGCGAGAGCCCTCTGTGTCACCGTCACTTCCTGCCATTCTGTGGTGACAGGTGTTCTGCCTGAGCTTCTTTCATTTTTCTTTCCTTTTTTTTTTTTTTTTTTGAGTCAGGGTCATGTTATTCAGGCTGGTCTTGAACTCAGTATGTAGCCCAGGTGGCCCTCAAAGTCGCCGGAATCCTCCTGCCTCAGCCTCCCGAGTGCTGGGATTACAAGCGTGCCCCACCACACCCGGCTATATATATATATTTTATTAGCACATTTGCAGTAGATGATTACATTCATCATGAGACTGTATCCTTGTACATAGTGTATCTTAATTCTTTATTTGTCCCTTTCTGCTCCTCTCCTCCAATCCTTCTCCTCTCCCCATTCACAAAGTTCTCTTTCCTTTTTTTTTTTGTTTTTTGGTCTTTTTGAGACAGGGTCTTGCTGTGCAGATCAGGTTGGCTTTGAGCTCATTTTGTAGCCCAGGCTGGCCTCGAACTTGCAACGATCCTCCTGCCTCAGCCTCCCAAGTGCTGGGGTTACAGGTGTGTACCACCACGCCAGGTGATCTCTTTCCTTTTGTCCTTGCAGTTCTTTTCTTTAAATCCCTTTTCACCAATCTCTTGTTCCCCTGGCATTTGAACAAGTTCTTCCTACTTCCTAATATCAATCCCCCATTTTGTTCCTTATTTAGGAGGGTTTTTTTGTTTTTGTTTTTTGTTTTTTGTGCCGGGAATCAAACTCAGGACCTTTCGCTTGCTAGGCAGGTGCTTGTGCCTCTGAGCTATATTCCCAGCCTTCATTCCTTAGTTTTTTTTATTTTTTCAGTACCAGGGATCGAACTCACGACCTTGCACTTGCCA